GCTTAGGCCTAAACACTGCTCTGGCCATGCCCACAGCTTCAAGCGCCACCCCGCCTCCCCGTCACACCCCCTGTCATTTAAAGCTCATTATCCTATCTTTGCAACACATCTTACAACTTGGGGGGAGCTATTTCACACTTTTAGAATAAACACCCAAATTCAATGCTGGGCCTATGAGGCCTTCCTTTCCTCTCCCTATCCCAAACTCTTCAACTCCAGACTCACGGGTATACTAGGTCACTGCTGGTGGAAGCCTGGCCTTTCCCCCATATTGCTGACTCTCCCTGGACAGCTTTTCCTGCTGACAGCACCCTCCTGAAATCCTCTTTAAGTGAAGAAAATTACACAGACCAAGTAACAAATACCTAGTTACCCACTAGCATACTTCATTGAACTAACATTTTGTCAACCTTTTTTTCCAATTTCAAAAGCTCTGTCAAATATTATCTCAATTAAGGATAAATAAAAAAGAGCCTCCCTGGTGGCCAAGGGGTTAAGTCCCAGCACCCTGAAGCTATCGGCAGCCACTACAGCAGGAGTTCAATCCCCGCCCTGGAGGTGACCCACATGGCGCAGCAGACCTCTCCTGACCCTCCCGCTGCTCCCCTCAGCAGTGTACTTCATCGATCTGCCTGTTCTGCTCCCCACTCTGTCTCTGGTGAGTCCTCTCACTGCCCCTGTACCTCCTGCCTGTACCCCAGTTCTGTGTGCATAAATAAATTAATCTTTGAAAAAAGAAAAGAAAAAGGTAAATCTTTATACTAAAAACAAAACAAAACAACTTTACTGAGGGAACATTGGCTTATAACACTGATGGGTTTCCGAGCACCGCGTGATTCGACAGCCCAGGCTGATCCCGCGGACTCTGCCCGGCTGCCTGCTCAGTCCGGGCACCTGGCGGAGGGCCGAGCCCGCAGCAGGCTCAGTGAACACGCAACGACTGAGTGGATGGATGCAGTTTTGTTTGCGTTCACCTTTATCATTCTTGTCTATTGGGTTTGGGCCTTTTATCTTGTTTAAGAAACCTTTTACAACCTAGTAGCCCTAAAATTATCTTGCTCTTCTTCAGTAAGGGTGCAACAGTTTTGCATTTCACATGAGGTCTGTAATCACTGTAAGGCTCACTCTGAATATGAAACAGGGATCTAATTTTATTTTATCCCACGAGGATAAACCATTGCTTCACCTCTACTTATTGAATCATCCCTTTCCCCACTGCTCTGCACATACTGCCTTTTCTAATGTCAAATTTTTATAAAAGCATGTGTCTGTTCTGACCTGCTTCCTACCCACCCCTTGTCTACCCTTACTGTCTTGATTACCACGGCCTTTATTATCAGTGATGTTATCAGTGATGGCTGATAGGGAAAGTTCATCTCCTACTAATCCTTCAGGTATCACTTTCAACATCTCTTTCTCAGGAGAAGTCTTTCACAGCTTCCCAGTTAGGGTGGGTCTTCTGTTTCTGTGTTCCCAGCAACTTAGCGCTGCATGTATTTAGCATCTGCTGCCCGCTGTGTCTGTCCATTTCCCATGGGCTGGAACATCTGTCTAGCTCACGGGCACAGCCCCCACGCTGGCACAACGGCCAGCCCATACTGGGCACGCCACCACTACTCGGTGAGTGAGCAACGGCGAAGGAGAGAGTAGCAGCTTTTGGGAAAGGCCTTTTGAGGAACAGCAATACTGCTGGATGGCAAGGCCACTCTGGGGAGACAGGGCTACAGAGAGACATGCAGGGGGAAGGCGTGGAAACAAAGACACCAAGAAAGCATGAAGCTGTCCCCTCTGCTCGTGCCCTGAGGTCTGGTAGATAGAGGCTGGTAAACATTTGAAAAATGGCTCTAGGCATGAAACCTCATTCCCATTCACTCATTTAAAGTTTTCAAAAACAGTTAACATTTTTTGAGGACCTGTCACAGGTATTTTACACGTACTGTCTCAATAAATATTATTAAAAATTATGTATTATAATTTATATTACATATATTATAATAAATATTTGATATATTAATATCATATATAATTTAAGTCATAAGAAATAAACGGTATAAACAATAAATATCAAAAACAACGTGACGAGATAGCTGCTATTATTATTTCCATTTTACAGAGAAAGACACTGAGGCTCTGAGAAGTTACTCAAAGACACAGCCAGGAAGTGCAGGGGATGGATTTGAACCCAGGGCTGTCCAGCGTCTGTACTGAGCGAGTCTTTCCCCTTTGGGAGAGGCCTGTGTGACACACGGAGCAGCTACGACTCCTTAGACTCTTAAGCGAGGGCAACACTAGGTCTAAAAAATGAGATTCCTTAGGGGTTTATGTGCCTTTGGAGCCTAGAGGTATTTAGAACAGAATCATCATAAAAGAGCTTTTCCTATTCATGTACATTACAAGGGGATCTGGCCTTTGGAGAAGTGAGTTAAATAGTGCTTCAGATGAGAGAGAGCCGGGAAAGAATTCCCTTTAATCTAACTAAGGCTAAGTGTCAGAATGAGACTGGCCCCTGTGCTCTGAATGAGCAGTTCTCAAACTCTGGTCCCAGGCCACCACTGGGAACTTTCTAGAAATATGAATTTTTGAGTCCCACCCGAGGCCCACTGAACTCTGGGGGTGGTGCTGGGCCTGGGCCACCTGTGACTTAGTAAACCCTCAGGTGACTGGGATCCTTGGAGGAGGCCAGCAGCGGCTTGGCTTTAAGTCTCCCCTGGGGCGGTGCTTCCCTGGTGTCCCCTGGGCCCTGAGAGCGCTACAGGTGCGAAGCTTCCCTTGGCCCAGCTGGGAGGGACAGCTGGGAGTGGCCAGAGCCTGCAGACAGGCAGCTTCCTCCTCACTTGTTGTTATATATTGTTTTCTGAATGCTCTGAAGTGACAGAAGGCTAGAAAGTACTGCCGCTGGGAATCCAGAAACTTCTTAGTTTACACAATCTGGTAATAACAGTAAAGCTAATGCTATTATTTTAATAGTGGAAAGTACTATTTTTTGAATATCTTCAATGTGCAAGTAAGCAATTTACATTTTTTGTTGTTGAAGCCTTACAGCCATCTATGAGTTAGTTACGGTTAGTATCCCCATTTTACAGATAGGGAGACTTAAAGCGTCTCAAGGTCATTCAGTTGAGGGTACAGCGGCTCAGTTCTTTCTAACACTAGGGTGTCTCTGCTCTACAGGTCAAGATTAAAAGTACTTCCAAGTGAAAGTTTACTCTGCAATAGTCTTTATTTTAAACACATCACATACGTACTCGATTATTGTGACTTGATTACTCCCATTTTGCAAATGTGGAAACCAAGGTTTGAAGATATTAAATACGTTTCCCCAGGGAGGAAGCTGGCAAACTATGAAGTAGGGCTTGAAGTGGAGAGGTCTGGATCTAACTGCATGCAGTTAACCATCAGGGAAGGCCCCAGTAGGAAGGCAGAGGATAGAGCAGGGAGGCTGAGGAGATTGTTTAGGGAGAAGCTGACTTGAGGATTCCCGCTGAGGCAGGAATGCAGGGTGAGGGGGGTGGGGGGCAGGGTTGAGAGCTGCTTTGCTGGGTGCTGCCCTGGGTCTGTTTGCTCTTCCCTTTCCTGTGTCTCCAGCTCACACCTGCTGCCCCAGGGCCGGCCACGGTGCTTGCTGCCCTAAGTCAGGCGCATGTGGAGACTGAGTGCCCCGAACAGGCGCTGAGCTACAGCTGCCTGCGGATTACATTCTTTTATGCACACATCATCCGCTGGAGCCTCCTTCTGCGGCCTGTCCTCGGGCCTCAGGGCTCTGACTGAAGTCAGCCCAGGGTGAGCCGGGAGAGGGCAGTGCCTCTTCTTGCAGGGTTACTGCTTCCAGGCCTCAGCAGCCCGTTTGTAATTCTGGTTAGAAGCCGGCCTTGTGGGGAAGTCAGGATCTGAGCTCCAGAAGAAGTGAGAGCAGCTTAAACAAGCAGAGTGGGCTGGAGGGGCACCGGGAGGGAGCTGGCATGGCAGGCTGATGCCCACACACTCTCCCTGAAGTCTGGATTCTGCCTTCATTTTACAGCCAGCATCTTGAGGGTGACCTAGGCCCTTCCGTAGTTGACCCTCATATGGCTACTGAAGTGACCGGCTGCACAGCTTTCTGCTGGGTCTGAAGTTTCTATCACCAGGCAGCCTCTAGGTGGGGATCGGTGAACGCTGGCCACAGCTGGGGGAAGACCATTCCAGAAGCCATCGGCTGTTAATAATGGCTGCAGGAGTTTGCCTTGGCTAGAGGTGTCGGTCATTTCTGCTCTAATCTTGCAGAGCTCCCCTAGATGAGCCGGACTGGCGGGGTCTGGAAGATGGGTTTGGCAAAGGCAAAACTGCGGCTGCTTCTAACTGCAGATAGAAGGTACACCCCACACTCCCGCCCACCTCCCACGGAAGGCGCAGGAACAGAGTTTAACTTCACTTCCATTTGCCACCTTAGCTCAGGTTTTGTGTTAAATAAGTGAAAAAATAAGTAGGGAGTAACTAAGACACAGCCCAACTACCCCACTTGGTTAAACAATGAGTCCAGGAGACACCCAACACAGAGATGGGGGCCTTCTAACTATTCCTGCCAAGGCTTCCCGGGTCTGGACTCATCCTGAAAGCCGCCTTTTGGCACGGAATGGGGCTTCATCACCTTCCTGCCTTTCCAGTCTCCACCCTCAGACCCGGCATCACGAATTGTGGCCAACTCTTGGCCTTCCTTTCTCAGAATAGCCTCTGGGATTTTCCTCCACGAGTGTGCACAGAGTGTGTGCCTCTTCACTTCACTGCCCCCCAAGTCTTTCTGCAGACCCTAAGGCTCCCCACAGAAACCACAAAGGATCATTAGGCTTCCCTTTGGAAATGCAGAAAATGAGTGTTATGTTTTGGGGTAAAACCCAACCAGACCCTGCTCCAAACGCCAGCTTCCTCCCTCATGGCCCACTGGTTTGTTGGCATATTTTCAGGGTGCTCTAAGAAGCATGGTGGCACAGAGGGCTGAGCTGGTATGAGGAGCCCAATGGACATACCTGGCTGCTTTCTGCGTAAGCTCCAGGGGGAAATCCGGGCACAGTAGCTGCAGCAGACAGTGATATTCTTTCATGGTCAGCAAATCTGCAGTGCAAAGGGAGACACGCTCATTAGGCCAGCACGTGGGTCACCACTCTCTTTTTGGTCAGTTTTAGATCTAGTCTAGGTAGAGCTGCCCTTCTAAAGAGGTTATGGGTGTCCTAGCTGCTCACCTGGGATGAATCTGAGATCAATATTTCTACAAAACTTCTCCTAGGAGTGAGGTATCCACTAACAACATTTTGGCCAAAGGAGTTTCACTGGCTTGAAAAATGGTCTAGTGAGGCCCTCCCTGCTGGCACAATGGGTTAGAGTGCAGCACTGCAAGCCAGCCACAGCCGCTTCAGTGCGAGTTCGATCCCCATCCCAGAAGTGACCACATGGCGCGGCAGACCTCTCCTGACCCGCCCGCTGCTCCCCTCAGCAGTCAGTATACTTTGTCAATCTGCCTGTTCTGCCCCCAGTCTGTCTCTGGTGAATCCTCTTACTGTCCCTGCACCTCTGGCCTGTCCCCCAGTTCTGTATGCATAAGTAAATAAACCTGGTGAGACGAGAGAACAAGAGGGATACCTTTATCAACCATCTTCATCTGGTTTTCCTTGTGTATAGAAATCTACAGGAATGAGTTATTTCATGAATCTGCTAAAGTTCTCTGGCATGGTAACATTCACCACAACTCGCCTAAAGTCTATCCAGAGAATATCTGGAAGTAGTTCTGAGGCAAACCCAGTCTTGCAATCTATGGAGAGCGATATGGCATAGCAACCCACAGACCTTATTACTCTGGCATGCGGCACTGCTCTGGCCGGCTTCTTCTGGATGCCCGCGCAGAAATCTGGCCATCCCATTAGAGGAAGCCAAGACAAAGGCCCGAGATGTGCAGTTGAGGTGACTAAATGATCTGTGATGCACGCCAGCAGTGAGTGCTTGGGAGAAATGGGTCAGGATGAGGGTCTGAGGCCCAGCAAAAACCCAGAGAGGCCAATCTCGGGGTGCGGGGGTGTACTGGATCCCAAGGGAGAGGACGTCCAAGTTGTATTGTTTCTGCATGTATGAAAGCCAAAAGATTCAGATCTGGCAGGCAGCAGCAGCGTGCGGGTGTTGTAGATTACAGTAACCATTCCAAACACGGAGGGACCAGCTCCCTACGGCAGAGCATGAGCCAGCACCTGGGAGTCATCCGAACTGGGAATGAGTGCGAGAAGGGTACCTGGAGGGCAGGGCCACGTTTGGGGACTGAAGACGATGATCACAGGCCCTTGGCTTCTTCGGACCTAAGTTAGCCCAAGCCACAGGAATCCAAACCTCCTGCCCCTGCTAGTTTGGTTGATGCTTTTCCAAGGCAAAAACCCCAAATCCCCAGGGACAGGCCTGGGTTCCTACTACTTTTGCATCAAAGCTCATCCAAGGTGGGGGCAGAGAGCTGGACTAACCACACTGCCGAAGCCAGGGACAGCAAAGGGACAGACTCGGCGCCACGCAGGTCAAAGGATCACGATGGCTTTTGTGGCTTTCGTCAGCCACGATGGGTGTGCGCTTTCCTCCCCTCTCTCGCCTGACCTTGGGCAGAGCCTGGCAAGAGGGTTCGCTGTTTAAGGAAAGGAGTAATAGTCACTCCTGGTCTCACAGATGCGGGATGAGGGACAGGAAAGGCAAAGGGAAGGGAGAAAATCACCGGGTCCAGTATGTTCCCACTTTACTCATGCTCCAGAACCACCTACAGAGATGGGGGGGGGGGGGAGGAAGTACATAAGAAATACAGCTATGCTTTTGAACCATCAGCACTTTTCTAGGCTAGCTAAGCTTGGGTGGATGCATCTGATACGGCTCTTACGAGGGTCAAGGCATTTCACAGGCTATTTATTCACATGTACCCCCTAAATTACCTCCACGGTATGAAGGAAAGAGACACAGCATGAAGGAAAATGTTGGGGTAGAGAGAAAGCGGTGGGGTAAGAGGGATGTAGCCCTCATCTTTAATAAAGAACAGCAATACAGAATTGCTCTCAGCCTCCTGGCTTCCAGATCCTAGCATGTCTTTTGTTTCTTGATGATTATTCTAACTGCTGTTTTTCAAATATTTGCTTCCCAAAGACAGAAGAAGGATTTGCAAAAATCATCATTTGTATTTGTCTGACGCAAGAGCAGGCTCTTGGCAATGCTGAATACACCAGAAACACCACTCCTGCCCACCACTTGTGGGACTTGACTTATCCAGCGGTAAGGTGAGGAAGAAAGTCAGATAAGAAATGAATAAAAGTGCAGGCAAATAGCTTTTATCACCTTAATTGCGAAAGACAGCAGTTCTATTAAACTAATGGCTAGACAACATCAAGGCTAGATGATCTCCAGGGAGAAGCATCTGCTCCTTGGAGATATTCCTGGGTTGTCTGGCACGGCTACTTGGAGAATGGCAAGTGGTAAGACCTGCTCCCCAATCGGAACATTTCTGAGCTAAGAGAAGCAGTTCCCTTCCTGTCCCACAGGCCAAGCTTCAAATCTTGCCTCTGTAATTTACCAGGTATGCAACCTTGGGCAAATTGCTCAATCCCTCTCAATCTCAGTTTCTCATCTGTAAAATGGGAATGATGATTACCTTTCAGGGCTGAAGGCAAGATTAAAAGAGATGATGTCTATAAAGCACTTAGCAGAGATCTAGAACACAATACTGCGAAACAATGGAAGTTAATTTTGGTTCTGTTTTTAAATCCTGGGAGCCCCGACAGGAAGGAGAGGCGGATGGTGTTTCCTGTTGCGTTTACATTTCGAAACAGGATTATTCTGTCTTGGCGCTGCTGGAGCCAAGCCTGTGTCTGAATACTCTTTGGCAGTGCTCGTTTTGTTTAATATTACCCTGTGCCTCCTCTGGTCCAGGCCAGGGTCCTAGAGATGAACAGGCAGAAGCCTCCCTGGCTCCCGAGGCTCGTGCAGACACCAGTTAGCCCTGAGTGCTCCCGTCTGCTGAGGAGGCCATGGCTCGAAGGTGCGCCAAGCTCTCAAAAGGCCCGCCCAGGCAGCCGTTTATGCTGGGGGAGTAACAGAGATGAGACAGAAGAGTGGCTGCACGCGTCTCAGGGCTGGAATGGGCTCACACCACCTTCACGACAACCTCAGCAAGCAGACTTCATCATCCTCTAGTCCCACCTCATAACACAGACATAGAGATGGGAGAGAGGAAATAACCTGGTGAGTCAGGAGAGAAGGCACCGGAGCCTGGGGGATAGGAAGGAGACCTGGTGCCCCTGAGCAAGATCCCAGGTTGGGCGGGAGAGAAGGTGGCCTGGGGCTTAATAGTGATAACACCACCTGCTAAGGTTGAGCTGTGGGCAGGCGCTCTGCCAGGGGCCTTCCCAGTGTTACCTCATCTGGTCCTCACTACTGCTATCCCCACTTCACAGACACAAAACCTCGGATGTGCACGCTAGATTCCAAACTCAGGCATTCTGGCTCCAGAGCTTGCCCAACTAACACTTCCAGCACCTTGATCTTATCAAACATAATGTGCTAAGGGTTAAGAGCTTGTTTTCCCCTCCAAACAAACTGCGGGAACTAAATAGCTCCAGGTGAACTGGATCAAGGAGACAATTCAAGCGGACTGGGATTTTTTTCTGGTGAGAAATTGAGTCTGAAAGGTTCTAATTACTGTCAACAGGAAAGACAGCAGCTCTAGCAGCTCCAGCTCGCAGACTGTGCTGGGCCGGAGGCCGCGCTGGGGGTGGGGAGTACACCTGTGCTGGTGGCTGCCTCACTGTTCTCATCCCAGCCCACCTGCCAGTTGCTCTGCATCCTGGCAGGTGCAGGGAAGGTGAGTGGTGTGTACCACCAGACGCCTCTCTAAAGGAATCCCCCCACAGTTAGGAAACATCAGCCAGCAGGTCCTGAAAGTTCAAAGGCAGACATGAGAAGGCTCTGGTACAAGATCAAAATCAGAATGTTCTCCACAAATTGGTGCTTCTCTTTGTGTGGGTGGTCAGAGCTGTTCAGGGTTCTTATTCTAAACCTGGTAATATCCCACTGACTGTGCGCCTGGCTCTGGGACAGAGGTTTTCACACGCCGGAGAATCTCCTCTCCCGGGGCAGCGCAGCGGAGCAGTGGTTCACAGAGTGGGCTCAGAGTATCTTTGAGTGTTGCTTCCGATTTCAAATTGCTAGATCTTTTAAGTGCTCTCTGCCTCAGTTTACCCATCTATAAAAGGACGACAGTGAAAGTACCAACCTCCCAACGGTTGCTGTGTATGAATGCCAGAAACTTAGAGCAGCGGCCTAATAACCAGCGTACAGGCACAGTTACCTGCTTTAACTACAGTCCCGTCTCACATAAATACTGTCAGTATTTGCTGTTATTATTTTAGAAAGAAACAGGGGTTAATTATTTATTTATTTATTTTTAATATATTTAAATTTTTTTACATCATTCTTCACTTTGTGCATTTTTTCCATCTCAGTTGTAATCCCCATGGGGAAACACGGGTTCTGAACTAAGGTCAACTATTTTCCAAGGAACAGAGCTGGGCAGAGGAGGACTGAGCTTAAAGTCTGGAGTCCTCCTGCAGTAGGTGGGGTGAGCTGTCCTGTGGAGGGCTTGCCTTCTGGCGACAGGCCCGTCACGCCAGATGGCCGCTGACCCTTCCTCACTTAGACCCCAGGTGCCTCCACGTGGGCCGCAGAGCTCAGGACAGGGGCTGCGGGGACGCAGCTCAGCAAGGCCGGGCCCAGACTTGGCTGTCAGACCACCTGGCTTCAAACCCTGGCACAGCTACTGACGGCAGCGTGACTTGGACATGTTCCGCCGCGTCTTTGAACCCTGGTTTCCTAATCATAGAAATAACCACAGTAGCTACCCCGGCACCCACCTCAGTGAACAACCACTGTACCTACCTCCATGGAATTATAAAAATCAAATGAGGCAATTAACGCATAAAGTGCTTTTTCTGAAAAAACAAAACTACCAAAATGGTCAATAACTGGCAGTTTTACAATTAACTGATAAAACTTGATGTCCTGAAGTATAAAGGACCAGGGGAGAAAATAATAATAACAATGAA